CGGTTAAGCTGTAACATGCAAGCAATCAAATTTACCTCGTGCCTTATTTTACTGAATAAATAAATCGCGGTAGAGCGTTGAGGTCGAATTACAAACTGATTGCAATAAGATTTTCAATTCCGACTATTTTGTGTGAATACACATAGTGGGAACTACTATATATCTACTTTTAAACGGTTTTTATCTTTATTTTTAAAAGTGTGAGTCCCAACTTCTAGGAGTGGAAAAATTAGGAAGACGATTTTTTGCTGACTGTCCGCCGGTAACAGAAACTGTATATTTATTGGTCCTACACAATGGTCTTTAAAATTATTAACATAGATCGTAGTTAACTAGAGGATTAGGCAGTCCTGTGATAGTCATGTTAAAATGTCGAGTCAATCTTAAAATTATTAAAAAAGCATCGTAAAATTATAAAGTACTAATTTTCATGATCACCTGTTTATTAAAATTTATACTGTCATGTACTCGTTTAGTACTCGTTCTCACATGACCAAATTATGTTGAATCCACAAAACAATCGAACTGAGTAAACAAATATTTTTATTTATTTTACTTCTTTACTTTATTGCATTACATAAAATCATACATTACAAGTAGCATACAGTAGTAACAGGATAAGGTGATCTTATAGCTAATTAGTTTCCAGACAGATTATTACTATTTTATTTAAAAAGTGTATTCCTGCGTTAAAGTTGTAGGTATGTATATCTCATAATTAATGCATATGATAGAAAGAGTCGATTGTTTTAAATGTATAAAGAATAATAAAATAAAAAACAGAAAATGTTTTATAAGTCTTATTATAGGCTGCATATACTTAAAATAACGGTAAAAAGTCTATATGTATGCATTTAAACCACACTCTGTCAAATAGAAGCCATTACTGCATTAAAAAATCTCCTTCAAAATTACGCAAACTGACATGAGCAATTTCAATACATTAACCCCGGAACTCCCTTTAACACAAGCTGTCACTTATGTCGCGACTCGCAAAAACATTCCAGCTACTTAAAGAGTCCCCCCCGTATTTCTTAACATATTTTCAACGGTTATTAACGTTAACTTTCACGTTAATGTTACGTTAACTCCCCGTATGAAGTGTTTTAAAACATTACTGCACGCTGACGTAATTAAGGGTTACTTTTCAGGTGATGGTTTTTACTTAAAGTTATGATGTGTGTTTAACTCTAAGTGAGGAGTTCATGATGAAATTATGGAGTATTTAGCAACTCGTTAAAGTTTTTGAGTACAGTTACGGATGTTGTTTAATGTTTACGCAGTGTTTAGGCAAATCTTAGGCATTATTCTCATCATGAATATTAATTTATAGATTAATTTTAAAATACGTAAGATTACATTATGAGAATGTAGATATATAATTTTTTCTCTACCATTTTCGATTTTTTTGTATTAGAAATATGAAAGTGAGTTTGTTCATTTATTAAATTGATTGTTATATCCCGATGTCATTGTTTCCTTTTCTTTTTCTATCTACTTTTAAACGACCGATAAATTCTTTTTTGTCTAAGATTCGTCATATTTTGGTAAATACATTTCTGTAAATCTTTCTGCAATCGATAGGTGTAACACAGAGGATGCTATTTATTTATTTATTTATTAATACAGATTACTTTATAATTAAAAATACTTTGTTGTAACTGCCTAATTAAACATATTTTAATTTTGCTTTGAATTTTTTTATAGAGTTCTAATATGTACTATTTCTGTTGGCCCTACTTGACACTTTAAATCTCCTTCGAATATCTTCTTTCTTTTTATTACCTATATAAATATCCAAATGTACAGCATATTCCACATAATACGATACTAAGCATGTACCGCAGATACGTTTTTACATCTAAATAGGTACTGAAGTATTACTTAAGTATAAATATTCTTGCCATATTAATTGTTAATACTCGTGAAAAATAAATGCAACACCAATTTTGCCGGATTTAATTGTAGGCATTTGTTGTAGATCAAAGTATACTTGTTCAACTAAATCATCTCGTTCACAACTGTAAACATAATATGATCGTTAACAAATCGTTAACAAACAACTCCCCGTCAAGAGCTATTACCTCCACTGTATTAAACAATACATATTTGTTATTATTTAAACCCGGTGCACACTCAATTCACAGTGTAACAAAAGCAAACAATCGTTTACCAAACACTAGGTAATTACCGCACCCCTACTGTCTGCGACGCCCCTTATAAAGTGACCAATTTACCTTGGCCCCCTGCCAATTTATCAGGACCTCCTTCTGTGTTGCACTGTTTAAACTTTGTTGAGAGGCGCGGGAGGCTTTTGTTTAATGGTGATGTTGAGTTGTAACGACAAAGTCGTATGTTAACATGTGTTCTGCAGGAGATAGAACCTTGTCAATGATAAAATGTTGAAGTGCGATGTTGATATATTCAAGGGTTTATTTTTATCCTGCTATATGTGTAATCTAACTTGGAAAAATAAAAGAGGATATTAATTTGACTGTATTTTTTCTGTGCATTAGAACTTTTGTCTATTTGAACCTATTTCTATGATTGTTTTTATATATATAAGCTGCTTAGTCTTAAATAAATTTGATCAAGATATGACCAGTCAGTTTTTAGTTATCCGTCGGTTTATTCGCGGATAATATACCTAGAGGAGTTTTAATTGGTAGTTAGATATAACCTCAACCTTAGTTAAGTTTATATTAAAAAATAAACAATGAATATATTATATGTACTAATATTAAATTCACTGATGTATTTTAATGGCTTCATGGACAAAAAATATATTTTATTGTTATTCCGAATACCAGGTCTACTTTATATATCTATAGTATTCTCTGATCTCTAGCGATTACAGTCCAGACTTGATCTTGACTTGATATATAAATTGAAAAATATTATTTATAGCATATATATATTAGTATTATTTATATAAACAATCAATTTAACGTAAGTGGCGAACTAATTAGCCATTTTATGTGTATTTTATTCTACTTCATAGATAAACAAATTACCAATAGTCCATAACGCCCCCTCTGGAGAGCATCGCTGCGATAAACGAAGGTCCAATACAATATATTTCTTAATTTAACATCAAAGTCTATGTTTCTTCTATGTTTATCTCTTATAACATTTTTTTTATTACAAAATGATGAAAAAATATTGACAACCCTCAACATCATATATTCTTGAACATAGTTAAATTACAATGGGGGAGCAGAGCAGAGTCGACGCGTTGAAATATTAATTTTACCCCAATAAGTAGGATAAAAACTATTAGAGTAGCCTCAGATTATGGCGGATTATTATTTTAACGAAGTTAGCTTGCGATCGTTAAGGGAGTACACTCCCGAAATGGGTCACAGATCAATCGAGTCGCAGATGGAACAGAAATTAATTTATACAAGTATTGTCGTGACGATATATTTGTAAAAACAAGTGATTTTTGACAATAGAACCTTAATAATTTTCAAGTTTCGATAAGAAGTATTAATTTAAATAAAATTATTTAAATTATTACTTCAAGGCGTTGTGCTTCAAATACTTATATTGTTTATATTTTTATTAAAATACTTTTAATTTCTTATTCTTAATAGGTACATGTATTATACTTGATTAAAAAAATATATTAGCATTCTGCACACCTTCTCTATATAAATTACATGCGTACGAAATTTTATATTTCTCCGTCGGCGCAAATTTCGTAAAAAGGGGCACAAAGTTTTTGTTACATATACCTATGCATATTTCAATAATTACACTTACAATTAGAAAGAAGAAAGAAAGAAAAATATTTTGTTCAGTGCAATGTAAAAAATACAATATAAAACACCAACGAAAAAAAAAGAGCAAATAAAATGTACATATAATTAAGTTAGGGTTAGAGTTTAGTTATCGGATTTATATTTAATAAGACAGAAATGTCATTTTATTTTTGTAAAAATCTTGTAAAGAATTTACAAATTTACCAGTTAAAAGTACTTATCGTATTTTTTTTATTTAAAATGTTATTTATTTGACTTTAAATAAAAATCGTGAACATCGATTTTATCAAAACCATTGTTAAAAATACAAAAAAAATTACTTACTTTTTGACCAATTTATCATGTTCAGGTAATCAAAAAGTAAGTATAATTAAATTTAAAATCTTAGCAGGTTCAAATCGTTTAACAAACACGGTCCCTTAATATTTCTACCTACTGTCACCTCTAAACAAAATTTATTTCTCATCACCACAAGATTTCATAGCACTCTCACCCAACAGAGGGTTTATTAAAAGTAAATTGCGAAAATTGCACTGCAAATGTGGCCCTGCCGTGCCTGACTAACCAGCTTACATGTACCAAAATATTTGGATCTCGCGTAGCGAACATCTATTAATATATCAGAGGTCTTACAATTTTGGTAATAACATTGTGTGTCTAGTCAAAGTTGAACTGTCGTAGCGTATGTTTTCCATTGAATGAGAGCTCCGATATATGGTTCATTTGGTCACCCTCGCTTTTGCAATGATCTCTAATCTTTGAGTTATAACAACCGACAAAATAGGGTGGTAATGATGTGATATAAAAGACTTGTAGTGTTGACAGCTCTCCAGAAGGGGCATTGTGGTCTATAGGCTATATTATTTATGTATGAAGTAGAATAAAATATTGTTTGTTTAGTCGTGTAACGACCATGGTTGTACTTGTACTGTAATTATTTTCAAGTGTATATCTACTTTCATTTTAGGGTTGTTTATATCAATTTAGAACTATTCTGTTCCTTATCATGTATAAGGAAACTTACCTTACCATACCTTAATCAACTATGTAATTTATATTATAATAAGCAGTAGCAGAATTATGTTGTAATATATATTAAATTTTTAGCATAATTCTGCAATTGGGTTTATATAATACTTATAAGTTTGTAAGCATTATCATACCAATCTAGCAATCAATTCTTAAACTTGTATTTTATATATATTTGATATCAATGATTTGGATAACCTGTGGCAGGTCTGGTTCCAAAACCGGAGGGCGAAATGGCGGAAAGCGGAGAGGTTGAAAGAAGAGCAACGCAAGCGAGAGGGTGCCGACGTGCTCACCAAGAGGGATCCCTCTGATGACAAGGTATTTGCACCTTACACAAGTTTATCTTACTTATATTATAAACGTGAAAGTTTGTGAGTGTGGACAGATGGGTGGATGTTTTGTGTTTTCATGTAAAAACCATTCAACGGATTTTTTTGTAGCTTTTTAATAATATAGCTTGTACATGAGAATAGCACATAGGCTACAAATTTAATGCGGGTGAAACCATGGTCACATGTAGTAAATATATATATTTAGAGATGATTTTCACCGGATGGTGCTGTGATTTTCTTATTGTGTAAATATCTCTTAAAAAACTTAACTCAGAAATTGTCGAAGAAAGATACAGCCGTGAAAGTACTAGGAGAAATTATTTGTTGTCCCAAATAGTACCCAAATTCAGAATAGCTCCACACTGTACGAGATATCAATCAGTAAAATTATTTAATAATTTACCATTGGATTTAAAACTACTAGCTAAACCCATGGTTATACCTGCAAGAAATTTCAATTCATCAGACTACTGTTATCTATACATATAATATTATAAAGACTCGCTGCGACACGTATCATTATTACATAGTATAAAATAAAGTCGTCGTCGCTGTCTGTTCCTATATATGTTTAAATCTTTAAACTACGCAACGGATTTTGAAAGGGTTTCTTTTAATAGATAAAGTGATTCTAGAGGAAGGTTTATACATATAATACATGTACATCCGGGCGAGTAGCTAGACAACTGATACAAAAACATAGATACATTTAAAAATAACACATACATAATTAGGCAATTATACTTTTTTATTTGATTAGGTATATTCTATTCTTTTACTACTTCGTTTTTCTTTATTAAAATTGTTGTTAAATACCATTTGGACAAAGTCGCGTAACAGCTAATAAAATTTCAGGGCTCCTCAGAGTGCGGTATGTCAAGAGGTTCAGGGGAGGCGTCGCCAGTGTCAGGGGTTGTGTCGCCGCGTGCCTCTCCCCCGGTGACACCTGCCTCACCTCGACGGTCGCCCCTTCGATCACCGCGCCGATCACCAAACAGATCACCAAGGCCTGAAAGGTCAACATTTTATTATATATAGCAATAATATATTACAATTAGACTTTATAAAAAGTCTCTGGGTTATTCCTGAGTCTGTGCCTAACAAAATCTTGCAGATTTTTCCAAGCTGAAGGGTAAACGTCACTACACATCCTATTAGGCTGTAGCCTATACATGCATATACGAAATATCTCCTTTCAGAAGGATACACTCTATCCTGAGGATATAAAAATCATCGCTCCTAAGAATATCCTTCAATTGTTGTCTCTAATAGCAAACTCTGAAAAAGGGTGAACACAAAATAGATCTATGTAGGTTGCAGTGCTACAGGTCTGAAGCTTCTGTAAATAGCCCAAATTCCCTCAACAAATAAAAATACCACATAAACACCTATTCCAGTATGCTTTATAAGCTATATTTGGATTGAACTGTGCGATATCAGGCAAGCATGTTCGGGAAAGCAAGAATATCACGGGCATCAAATAATTACACGATGTCTGTACTGCTGTCCATATACATACAAACATCGATGATAGTTATCACTTACATACAGGTGGGCTTTTTTGTCACTCCAATTATATTAAAAACCTTTATTTTAAAATAACACTTTCTAGAAGGGAATAATATTTTACACACATATATATAATAAAATTCAATTATGGTATTCTCGTGAGAAAATATTTATACCAATAACAACAATTATATTCATGGAAAAAAGACTCGAATTTCCGATCATAGGAAGTATGGCGGTGTGCTAAACAGCTAGACCTTCATGTCATCATGAGAGCATTGCCTATATTCTAACGTAATGTTATCAGGTCAGAGACGAGTTGTCCTTCTCCAGCACCATCGGTGGGAAGTGCAGGTTCCAGGGATGCGCCGCCCGAGCATCGGCCTCCGCACCACATATTCTCACCTTTTGACCAGTAAGTCTTTTATATATCTTTACATAGTATAAAAGAAAGATCTTTCAAATTACACAACGGATTTTAATGCAATTTACAGCAATAGATAGAGTGATTCAATAGGAAGTTTTATATGTGTAATAATACATGCATGTTATAGTAAAGAACAAAGCAAGAAATTCAAAGATTTGTTGGTTTATATATAAAACGTTATAATTCTATGTTTTCATTACCATTTTCAACACGTACGTAATAATAAAAAAAATAAAACACGAATTATATACGTAGAACCCCATCCACGTATATAATTAGTGTTTTATTTTTTTAACACATCACACAATTGTGTGTATACCACAGTAACTCAAAATAGCCATAACTCGAGAGTTCAGGACGCTGTAATTCTTCCAAAATTTAGTTGTGAAAGTTAAGACAAAGTAATACAACATGCACTGCTGATTACTGTATATATAATATATAAATCTGAGATTGACATTTATATTTATAGAACAGTCTGAAGTGAAGCTTCTTTAAAAACATATTCTATTAAAAAAATAATTACATTTTTTTTTTCGAATAAAAAAAGATTATTGATGTGAAATACTTTAAATTAACTTTATACTTCTGTACACAGATGTACAGATTACTAACATATATATCTATTCAAATTTGATCCGGTCCTCGGTTACACCATTCCACTAGTCAGCTTTTATTTTACATATGTAGCTGACAGGATATGAGACTGAAAACTCACTGTCTTTTGTTTGTTCTAACTTTAAACCCACACAACAGTGAATCATACAACTTTAAACAAGACAGTCATGTGGTATGACATACCGCGTATTAGTACACGAGTATATGGCAATTAATTAATTAAACGTACGGCCAGCACTTTAATGAAACGTAATTATATTGCGCCGAGTCGACAATCGACGCTGCAGACCTCGTGTAGCGGGAAGACGACGCATGTAGCATCCACAGTTGAACTAGTGTGATAAATTCAATACAGTTGACCAATGTTGCGGTTAATAATGGATATTCTAATGAGAATGTTTGTAATTATATTAATTCAGTCATTAATTAATGCTTTTACAGTTGTATTAATAAAGTTTTGAGACTCTATTTCTGTTATTGGACACCATTACCTATATTACTTCAAGTATTAGCAGTACTTGCAATGGCAATTAATTAAAACTGGTAATATAAGCTAAATATTGTCTACTAATAAAAATAAAAGAGTCTCTTTTTAATATTCTTTTCATTGTACTTAGATAAAGTTTCATATACATAGAGAAATATTCGAGATACCTATTTGATTTACCGTAGATAGACCGTAGTAGTAGGTATGGTAGATTACATTTTACAATATCAACAAAAATGTAATGATTACCTATTTATATATCAGAGAGTCTGAACTAATTCGAATTAACTTTACAGTTATATGTATAAGTTTTAATCCTTACATTTATAAAGTATAGTCCCCGCGGCGTTGTTCTCTCGTCGCAAAAACTACTGAACGGAATTTCATGCAGTCTTTCAATAGGGTGATTTCTAAAAAGGTTTAGGTGTATAATTCTTTATAGTTTTGTTTAAATTGATTACAATAACCGCATGAAGCCAGGGCGAATAGCTAGTAACTAATATTCTCAAATCAACGGATTCCAATGTGGCGTACCTACTTATCATACTTACAAGTGTCGACGCGGTGGTCCAATCTAATTGCTCAAAGGTCGTTTGAATTGATTTTAATTGTGCTGCTGATGGAGTAATTCTGTTGATAGAAATATACAACCGCGGCAGCCATTTTGTTGATATAATCTCATCTAATCCTTTAGATCTACGGTTGTTACACATAGTAAATAATAAAAAAACTCTAATTTAGAAAATTTATAATCAAATTCTATTTTTTTGTTTCTACACTTGAAAGGTTACCTAAGTTCGTGATTATGTAATTTATCTATCCGCACTGATACTATAAATGCGAATGAGTATCTGTCTGTCTGTTTGTTTTTTATCTTTTCGCGACTATTTCTATAAAATTTCAGGTGAATATAAATTGTGACACGAATTATTCTTATGTACATCACATAGATTATCTTTTATTTCAAAACGCTGACAATTTTGTTGATAAATTAAAAATTGTGTCTGTTTGTTAGATTTTTAATAAAATTGCATATGAAGATAGATGGTGTCTTACGGTAGGTTATTTTTATTGTAAAATTTAAACAATCCATCTTGATGTATCTAAATCTATTGACAATTAACAAAAATAGGTTGATTTATTTAAAGTCTATTAAATAGAAAGCTATTCCTGAGTTTAATTTACCAGAAAAAGTAAAACTTATTAAATTAAATATTATATTCAACGTCGTCATATTTTTTGTATTATAATTTTTCCTCAACTGGACAAAGACTGGAGAAGAATAATCTCTAGAAACTGGCTAGAAACTCAACTGAATTTCTTTTTTTAATGTCAGTTTATTTACTTTGTTTGCTTATTAGTCTGTCTAACATTAAATGAAAATCCCGAGCATGAACAACCACTTCTATGCACGTTTCAAGTAATTGTTTAGTAAATAATAGGTTTTGTTCAATAAATATGATTTAACATATCAAATCTATTTAAAGGTAATTCCAGTATATCCTCTGGTATCTTATTGTTTTTATACCCATAAAAGACCCATTGACCCTTTCTATACGATACTTAGGGACAGCAAGTTGTCCTTAAATCTAGTATTACTATTAAACGAAAAATAATAAAATATTAATAAACATAATATTTTAAAAATAGTGTATGAAGATACGTATATCCGCTAACGCTATATGCATTGGACCATTTACAACATCTTGTACCACTCGAGTCCTGTAAAGTTCTCAGAAGATTCGCTTTAATTGAATCAAGAGAGTTAAATTGTCAATAATAATGATCCGGGGTTAAGTCGCTTCCACTTTAGAAATTAACTTTCAAGTTAGAGGCATTGAGTTCACAACGAGATTATTGTGAATCACAATGTGATTGGGGGGTGTATTATATTATCAATATATAAGATCATGGATCTATCAATTTATAGAGACATCATTTATAGCTTATATATAACTTTAGTTACTATTAGCCGAGTTATTCGACGTTTTTGTTGGTTCTACGCTCCTACATAATATATAGGTAGTCTATAGTTTTTAAAACCCGCCAGTAATAATTGGTGCTTAGCATTTTTAACCAAACAAACAAACTTTTTCCCTTTATAATATATGTATAGATTAAAAGTATACTGTAAGAAACATTTCATACTTGATTTCTTGATAATTTTTAGTGAAATCAAATTCGTAACTAAATGGTTTATAGATAGAGGAGCGTTTAGATTAAATAAAGGTTGTTTTATGAAAAAAAAATAAAGGATTTTTCAGAGGATACATCCGTTACACACAGAATAGTGTTGGTAATACGCAAGCGTTATAATCGGGTTTAGGCAGTTCCGAGTGACCGGATGTGCCGCCATTTTATTATACAGGGTTGTCGGGTGATTGATATAAATGATATACTTAATAGATGCATTATATTGTATAATGATAGTAATATATCTTAGGACAATTCATACAGCACCATGTATTCCCAAGCTAAGTAGAGCTGGGGTTATAATATAAATAGATATTTTTTTGTAAATATATACATAACAAAAACTGATAAATACAAATGTTTCTACTACGCGAGTACTCGAACCCGCGACCATCGGAAGTAATGCGATGTACTATAACCATTAGACTGCAGAGGCCATGTTAATACTCCGGAATGGCAACGCATTAGTGATACGAGGGATTCATGATTATGAAGAAGTCTTCATGTCTATAGAAGACAATGGCCATTTGACCACAAGGTGGGCCGTTAGCTACTTTTTCATTACTGTTACAAAAAAAACAAAAAATATTGTAGGTATAGGCTTAATATCTTAATTATTCGACATTTATATCTTAATAAATATGTTAAATAAATTTACATTCCTACAAATCTTAAACACATTGTGAAATAAATGTTAAGAAGACATTTTGATAAATCAAACTTATTTTTTTTAATTTAATGTTCTTGCTTTAATCTAAAAATTTATATTTATAAAATTGGGCCCCTTCTATGATTACTTATGTAAATAGTAAGAAAAAAAAACAATAAAAACGAATTCAGAATATAAAAACACAGCAACTTGAAAACCCCTATTATTAAACTATTAAAAGTGATCTTTACTACACAGAATCATTAAATCCCATTCAGATATGACCATAGATACGGATAGTTTATTTATATCAACAACTTAAATATCTATATATCATTCTCAGTGCCGTCTCCGTTGGCAGTGAAAGTAATTTGTATGATTATGTGATATAGAGCTCTATTAGTGTAGTATGCCATTCCATTTGTAGGGCAGTGCCCTTTGGTGGTGTAACCCTAATAACAATACGTCTGCGCCCGCGCCACTTACCGTTGGACGGTCATTATTTGAATTTCGAACGCGAGACGGCGTCGCGTGCGCATACTTATCAATTGAATATGCACGATGACGTAAGCGAAGAGCGGGCTTTTCATCATTTCCGGGTCTTGAAGTATAAAGTATAAAAGACAGTTATTACCCTTTTTTTATGGAATACACATAATAATAATTATCCTATTGCTTTACAATTTAGTTAAAAGTTTCAAACCTAAAAAGTTATAAAAAGCATAGGTTGCCCCTAAACTTCTCTATATGTTCTTTTCCCACACTCTAATCTTATCATACTCACTGGTGCCCCGCCAGCGTATACTGTTAGCGCAAAGAGTGCATCATTCCATTATCATACACTAAAAAAATATATTATATAATACGATTATACACTACATGAACAACAAATCTTTACGTGTCGCTCGTTGTTTCTCTCAAGTGTTACCATTTCAGAAGAATATTGTCATGCATCAGTACTTTGTAATTTCACTGACATATTTCATCCCATAAAAAAATCAGCCTTAAAAGCAAACGCAGATGACTTTGTACAAAGTCAAC